AAAGATTTATGTCAGAATGAGAACTGAAGCCAGTAACTCCCGCGCTCTGCTGCAGCCATTACATTTCATCTCTTGTAGGTGTGTCTGCAGACTGGGAATTAAGGGCCATTGCACAAGGACTGAAAGCCTACGCAATAGAAATTTTGGAACAGGGTCCAGGCCCCAGATAAATGAAATCCAGTCTACGTTAATTATGATGTTGGGCTTCTTGTTCTCCTTGGCTATTACTTTAGTCACTCTGCTTCTTTAGTTTGTGTCGGGACACTTTTATTTATGCCTTTTAGATCAATTGGGGTTGTTCAGATTAGAACTCTTTAGAAATGTGAAACCTTGGTTTGCTTTGAAAGCTGCACAGGCACATGTTCGCATGATAAAGAGGCTGACCTCCTCTCTGAGATGCTTATAAACGTATTTAGAAATAAATAAATGGCCTGTATTGTTTTCAGAACAGAGGAGGTTGAAATTTCTATTGTAGGTGAGGCTTTCAGTCCTTGTGCAATGGCCTTTGATTCCCAGTCTGCAGACACACCGACAAGAGGGGAAATGCACCCTGGTTTTTCATACGTGTTTTTCCATACTTTTCACATTTCTGAGGCTGCCACAGGCAGTGGGAAGGCAATTGTCGCCTTACAGCCGATTCTTAGACCACCCCCTCTGCATTAGCCTCTGACCCATTAGTCGAGAGAGTGTCTCGGAAAACTGAGGCCGGATGGAATGATATCTGTAAAGCTCTCTGGGGTGGGGGGCGTCTCGGCCTGACTGGGACCTGATGGAATGATATCAGCTGTCTCCCCTGGGAGGACATGTAATTATGTCTTGGGGCAATGTGGTGGAGTACGAAGGCATAGCATTTGCTGGAGTACATTGGGAAAAGGTCATTGGAAAAGTCCTTAAGGCGCACAAGAATACATGGTTAATGACTCACAGCATAGCAGTTTACTTCCTTGAAAATAATCAATAAAAACCATGCGTCGACCCGATTCGGTGGCTCAGTCTATCTCTAAAGGCTGAGTCCCTTGGTCTCGCTCTTAAATATTACTTCTGTCTCTTGTTCTTATTCAATCTGCGTCGCCCCTCTCGTGTCCCATTTGCCCTTGCCACGCAGGACGTGACAGGCAATAAGTGGGCATGCGTGTCAGGTTCAGTTTCTCCAGCCATTCAGGCTGGAGAGGCTCTGCCGTGCCCTGGAGACTGTCCACATCTGGCTGTCTGTGGGGCCCTATGGGCTGTAGAGTCACTGGCAGAGCGCAGGAGTCACTGGCCTCAGTTCTCATTCCAACGAGGGGCCTCTTGAGGGTGCAGGACAGCCAAGTGGGCACAGGGAGCAACAATCCGGCCCGCACGCATCTACCTCAGGGTGCGGTGCATACTCACACAGGAGTACCGGCTTGTGGGTGAGATGATCTGGTCCGAGTCTGGCTGTTTTGGGGTCACAGTAACAAGATCGACATATTTTCTTTTTCATCCTTTCAAATGACCCTCAGGTGGGCAGGGCAGTGCCTGTTTTTATTCCGATTTACAAATGAGGAAACACAATGAGTGAACAATACCCAGGGTTCCTTTTGAGTGTGAAGTTCTATCTTGTCTATGTAGAATCTCTTCCTCAGTTGGTGGAAGAAACCAGGTGCCAAGTTTTCTGAACCTGGCACAGATGTTTGTGGATGAGAAGGAAGGAGGAGAGAGCTGGGGAAAGGGCTGATGAGGTCTGTTCCTGGTGGCTGATGGCACTGTCTCATTCATTGCCTACCAGTCACGCCACTTGGGGAGGTGGTGAGGGACTGGGGATTGTAGTAATGATAGGACATTGACTTTGACAGTGAGGGTCTCTGATGAATACCAACTAAACCTAGGTTTTGGATAACACAGAAGTTGCTAAAAGCTTCAATCAGCACAGGCAGGGGTGATGAAGAGAGCAGGAGAGGGTGTCTAGGGGTCTCCCAGCATGCTCTGGAAGGAAGATGAGATGATGAAGGTGATGGTGGAAGAGAAACACAGCTGGGGATTTTGCATTTGGAGTGACAGAAATCACCACAACCAGCGGCCTGTGGCTAAGAGCCCCAGACTGGCATTTCAGGGGACCCAGGCTGTGGGAGAAGTCCAGGAAAGCCTGGAGGGGATTTGGTGGTTTGCAAAGCTCAATTTTGTGAGGGGGGGAATCCATTCTGAGGGTTTTATATCCCCCCTGGGGAAACCGTTCTTTGCTGTTCTTATGTTATAGGTGTTTTGTTTTAAATTTTCAAATCTTGGACTTGATTTAAGGAAAGTCTTTAACTTTCCTGACATATATGGAGGCCCTAAAGGCAGCAAAGCACAGCCCTTTAGAAGGCTAATAAAATCAAGGAACCTCAAAGCCATAGTCACTTTCCTGCACATCTTCACAGCACTTATGCAGGCGATTCCCCAGGTAACCTCCCTCTAAGCCAGTGCTGGAAAGACCCAGGGCCTTTGCATGTGTAGGATGGATGTGTTCAGTGGCTGCCGAACATGGAAGATGAGGCTGGAGGTACCAAATGGGTGACAGACAGTTTTAGTTTCTGGAAAAAACTGTAGCTCCATTTTACATACTGCTTTTGAGTACCAAACACTGTAGAATTCTCTCTCATTCCATCTCCCCCTTTGACCTTGACTTTGACTCTTTTCTAATGGATGTGTGTCCTGAGTCCAATGAATGTATTCTGAATAGGAGAAGAAGCTTCACACATCCTCTTCAGCCTCTCTGCCCAGCTGGGCTTTCCTTGCCTGGTCCTTCCCTGCATCCCAGGGCCTCCAAGGGCGAGGAGCAGGGCTGAGCTTTGGCTCAGGCAGAAACAGCACTGGATTATACAGCGAAGGATGCTAAGTTCGCCCTCATCACAGGAAGGGCTGAAAGGAACCTGAGGATTCCAGTTAGGCCTAAAATAATGAGCTGGCAAGTTTGGGGAAACCACTGTGGGCAATGAGGAGATTGCTCTCGTTGTGATCAGCTTCCTTTTTAAAAAAAAAAAAATTTTATTGAGGAATTGAGGGAGGGGAACAGCGTTGGGGAGTTGGGGAAGGGGAACAGACAAGTTGCTGTCCTTTTGTTCTTCAGTCTAGTTGTGGAGGACATCGCTTCACTGGCCCATGTTGGTATTATCATTGGACGGCCACTCACAGTGGCTCACAAAAGTTCATGCCAGCTGCTGGCCAGCCCCACTGCAGCCTATGCAATGGCCTGCGACATATGGTAGCCCAGCTCCAGGTAGAGCTGTTGTTCACCATCTTAGCTGTAGAGGGCGCAGCGTCACTGGCCCTCATGTGGGAACCGAACCCTGGCCCTGCTGCTCAGAGCTGGGGTCCCAAGCCAACTCTTAACCAACGTACCACTTGGTCAGACCGTGATCAGCTTTCTTTTAATGAACAGTGGAAAAGCCTGTGGTCCAGCTGGTAGCCCAAGGAAAAAGGGCGGCATCAAGAGGGAGGGAGCGGTTTCTGAGAGGATCAGAAGGGTGATTACTCTGGTGGTGAAAGGATAGAGGCTGCTTAACACACTGGACTTCTTCATCTTTAAGGGGGAGGAAGGAAGACCCTAAGTGGGGAAAGGTGGACTTGAGTGGAGTCTGGAGCACTCCTTCTCTCAACTGCCCTCCTCACACGATGGCGTCTGAGGCTAGATAAAAGAAAGCGACTTTAGGAAACTATTGCCTATTGGAATCTGCACGGCCCCTGGGGCCAGGTACCCCTCTCTGGCCACCCTCTTAGGCAGCCTCTGT